CACAGGGGCATGATCAAAAATAAATTGTGTAGCGACGGTGTGCTAGCACCGTGCTGATGATGTGCATTGAACCCTCGTCTCCCACATGTTCCGTGATTTCATCGTCGTCGCCCAGCGCCCTCCTTCGGTCGATCGAAGGCGAGGGGCTGGCGGAGTACAGTAAGCGCGCCTACAGCGTCTATCGGACACACGGGGTCATTGAAGACAGGACAGAGACCGACGAGCACCTGGCACCCGAGACGAAATCATTCCACAAGTTATCACGGTCGGCGAATCAGGTCTACGACCACCGAGCGACCGCTTCGCCAACCACCGACGAGTTAGACATGATGGCGTCGACGTCAGAGAAAAATACAGACTTAGCGGGTACCACAGCATTGGTTGCAATGGAAGCCGATACGAGAGAAGTGCGGGGAACGGGGTATGGTCCGGTAGGCCTGGATATTCGCTCCGACCCAGTCAGGCCCTTTTCTCCTCCTCCTGTTTCTCCGCAACTCCTCCGGTCAACCGACAGGCGGCCGCCTCCAAAAAGTGACGAAAATAGAACCGCTTTCGCCGCAACAAGCGGCAGCGATCGCCGAAACCTCGGTGTCTGTGAGTCCGACGATGTTGCGTCACACATCACCAAATCGGAGAAAACGACACCGCCATCAGAGGGACTCCGGTCAGGACTTCGCGCCCCGCGAGCCGGTCGGAATGTGGGATTGACTTCTTCAGATGCCCGCGGTTCTCCCGGCGACCACCGTGAAGGACGACTGACGGGTTTCCGTGGCGAAAGGAAGGGGAATGAATCGGCGCCTCCGCCTCCGGCCACCACTACTGTGCCTACGCGTCCAAGAGAGGCATGGACAAAAGAACAAACGATCGTACAACAACACGACAATAGGAACCTGACGGAAGATAAACAGGGCTCCGACCTGTCGGATACAAAAGCAGGCGGCGGTGCAGCTGGGGTCGTTTCTGGCGAGAACGGCGACCTTCACCCCGACCGCTCTTTCGCCGCTCCGAATAAACCGGTGACACCCAGTGACGGAACGAGCGGACAACGTCGAGCCTTCTTTCAGGCGAAGACGAGCAACGGACCTAGAGAGGCATGCAAAGGTGCTGCCACCGTGCGGGAGGCACGAGTCGGTTGTGCCACCGAGGAGGGCAGCCGGAGCGGCGATTGTGCTTCTCTAGACCCGCCTAGAAATGACGAACACGCCCGCGAAGCGGAAACATCACGAAAAGGAGGAGGGCGGTCAAAAGGTAAGTCTACGACCGTTGCTGGGTGCGTTCCTATCACCACCCTCGCTTCCACCGATTCGGGCCGACCGAAGGCGGAAACGCACCAAAGTCAGGCTGATGGTGTCGAGGTACATGCTCTGTGCTTGGAAAGCGTGCCTGATAGCGCGTCGGATATGGCACCCTCGCCGGTAGATCCACCGCCTCCCGCCACTGGTGCGGATGGGTTAGATCTGGGTGGAAGCGGTGTAACAAACGGCACAGGGTCGGCGGAGGGACACGTCTTGGTTGGAGCAGGGAACCCTTCTGAAAACCAGGACTTTGTGTGGTTTGGGCAGCCGGACACCCCTCAACGGCAACAGCCTGATGAGGGCGACGAGACGGGAACTAAAGTTGTTAGTGCACAAAATGCTGCGAGAGCGGCGGCGGTAGTGGCACAACAAACTGGTCGGAATCCTTCTGCTTCTGTTTCTTCTTCTTCTTCTCCGCAGCGGCATCGATCGAAAGCACGGTTGTTGCTTCAGATGGAGGTCCGACGCCAGAGAGACATCATTGAGCAAGCCGTTCAGGCACGGGAAGAGGAAAGGAGGCTCAGGAGAGCCCGGATAGGGGCGGAGGTGTTCAAGAGAATAAAGCACCGTTGTCAGCGACGCACATCAAGCCCCCCGGCCCGGTCAAGTTTCTCCCCAGCGCAACAACTGCCCCCCCACAATTCAGCACCTCCCGCTGACAACGGCCAGATGGGTGACTTGAAAGCGCCCGAAGATCGTGCAGAAGGGACAACTGTGGCATCACCGTCCCACCCTGAAAAGCCTGTCAAGGCGTGGGGATTCCGGACACCGGAAGTCGTAGGCCATCTCACTGAAGTCACTTCAGTGAAGGCCATCCAACCCGACATCGCTGCGCCAAATAAGGCCATCGCTGTTGTCGGCAAAGAGACAACTTTTGATGCTCTGGCACCAGCGCCACCAACCGAACGAGAAGGCGCCCGTGGCGTAGCGCCACCAACCGAACGAGAAGGCGCCCGTGGCGTAGCGCCACCAACCGAACGAGAAGGCGCCCGTGGCGTAGCGACCGCAGCCGACAACCCCTGGCGACGAGTTGTGAGACAGCAGGAGACCCACCTTGAGGGCTGCGTGCCTGCGAAGAGGGAGCCAACCCCGCCTTCGGTGAGCTTCGAAGTCGATGTTGATGGTTTTGGGGGCCGGGCGGAGCGGCTGGATGGGGCCTTGAGTAGGGAGCAAGACAAGGTTCGAAGGCAAGAGAGGTTTGAAGCCCTGCGCGCGAGGAAATTGGTGGAGGCAGAGGTGAGCGTAGTTCGCCGCAAGTACTCACCTCCGTATTTATACCAAGCCCAGCCTGCAAGCGCACTGGTGTGAAAAAGTGGACGACGAATGTTTCGGTCTTGGCTCTGATCGGTCTCCCGAAAAGGAAGTGGGGTCCATGACTTGTTTGCGACAAAGCTGATGCCGTACGTACGAGACATGATATGAATCAGAGTGGTTAGGCCAGACAAGACCTAAGGGTTGCCGTGCAATGAAGAGGCCGTCGTTCGTCTTGAAACCCTTTGTGCGTTATTGCTATGGATATAGGAACGGAGACGAGGCCAGAAAGAACGGCAAGTCGTGGCAAGAAAGGAGCAGCGAAGACAAGAAGCTGCTGCTACCGCTGCTGCTACCGCTGCTGCTGTCGCTGCCACAACTCCCGGCGCTGATCGAGAACATCATTACCAATTTTCGAACAACGACCCACGGCGGCCACATTCATCACACCATGCGTCTGCCGTGGTCGACGCATCCGCATCGCGAAATAAAGGAAAAGAGACTTTTCCAGGAATGTCGGTTTTGCGACCCCGTCAATCGAGTGTGCCAAGAAACGACGACGGTTCCGTCAGAGGGGGCACCCGCGTCCTCGGCGATAGCAATGCTAGTGGTGGTGGCGGTTATGCAAAGTTGCCGACGCCGGGTGCTGGGCGCGTTGCCTCACCCGCTGTCCGAGGCTTGTCACGACGCTCAAACCGGAAGCTGGTGAGAAATGCCATCCATTTCCTTTGCCTGGCCGGGGGGCATCTCCAGGAGAGGAAGGCGCGAGCGTTGGAGGTATGGGCGCTTGTGCTTCATGTGGGCAATACAACGCAGACTGCATTAATTGGGTTGATCTCGGGGGTCTCCTTAGGGCGCCACGAAAACACATCTTTCTATCCCACTGGGTGTCGTTTTTTTCTGTGCGCTGTTTCGTACCCGATTTGAAGAGAGATTCCACGCAAACACGAAAATGGGTGCAGGTGAAGGATTTGATCATGCAGGGGGGGGCGTGTGAGGTCTCTTACTGCTCCATACAACCTGATGTTCTGCTATACTTCCCACCAGGCTTTGGACTCCCATCCGGCGTCTAACTTCGTCGTCTTGCTAGCCCACACCAAGCTCCTCTCGTTCAAAGGGCTGTACGCATGCCGCGGGGAGGACGACGGTTCCGCGGATCGTGTCTTTGGCCTAGGTCCTCCACATGTGGATGCCACCATGGTGAGTGTGAGACATAGCAGGCGTGAGCAGCCTTCCATTCGTGTCAGTCTATGTACGCATTTGTTGGGGAAAAGTCTATCGGAGTCGTCGGGAATCTGTGCGGAGTATTCGCGAGCTACTTCTGTAGGATTCGGAACCCTTTCGAGCCCACCACATCCATACTCTGAGTTGGGTGGGTCCATCGATCTTTCATGGGTGGCGACGGGGCCGTGGCTATCCTTTTTTCTTTTATGAGCATCTATTTGGCGGCGGGCCTCCTCATCATGGCTTCTGACGCGCAAGACCGGCGCCGGCACCTCGTCTCTTGCATTCTTCGATAGATCAATTTGTTGGGTCTTCGAACGTCTTTGCACACGATTCGCACGCAGGCTTCAGGATTTTACAAATACAACTCGGCGGCAAGAGAGTTCCGCGAGGTTCACAGCAAGACCCTGGGCAAAACTACCGACGCCATCAGCATGGAGCCGACGAGATTAAAACGACCCAAGGGCTTTGCTACACAATGACTGGTCAGCTGGAACCACCTGCATCATGCTAAGGACCGGGTAACCCCGCCAGACACGCCCCGTCGCAGCTCTGCTCAGTAGGATCACTATATTCCACCTGTTTCGGGACAAGATGCTCCACCTGATACATTTTGTAGATGGTCTTCACGTGTATTATTGTCTGAGTGGAAAGTTAAGGGGTGATCACTAGCTGTGGTAACTCGCGTTCGGTACTCTTCAATCGTAAGTTTAAACTGCAGAGCCATACGAGCTCCGGAGGAAGTGTACATAGACTATGTATTTCAATAGTAGGGAGCGCATGAAGTTGGCCGTAAAAGATGTAGACATGATTTGATCTCCTGCGTGTAGGAGCGCCAGCTAGCGTTGATATACCCATCACTTCAATCGCAACTCATGCGCAACGCGCATGCTACCCAAGAGCGAGTCACCGCGCGGAGCGGTGCCAAAGGGTCGGGCACGGAGCGCGTCGGGACCACAAAAATTTCCTTGGAAAACATGTCTCGAACTAATTTGTGGATTGTACGCCGGACCTCCCGAACGGTGTGGTCCTTGTTGGTGACCTGGAGTTGTTCCAGGAGGGAAATCGCGGTCGGGGGAATGGGTGTTCTACCGTAGCGTGGTCCACAAAAGCCTTTACGCTTCTTTGAGCGCCAGCACTTTGGGGCGGGTCTCCTCGGCGAACAGCTGAACGTGGTCAAAGCATGATTGAAGGTCATGACCGACCAAGTTAACTTCAGAACAGCCCCGTTTTTCATGTTCAAGCGCGTACCACGAGTGGTGGCATTTTCTTGAATTTTTGTCATCACTCGCCCCAGTCCAGGTGACGTCGAACTCGGACGCCATTCGGTCATCACCGCCCAGGACATGACACGGAAGGTATGCCTCGTTTGCGACAAAGAACAGTATTTCGTGGCGGGCACGCTACTACTGTGAGTAAAGAAAGCTTGTCGAAGCTTGGTCGCAATCCTCATGAAGCATACCTCGCCTAAGTCGTTGTATTTTTCTCGACAACGCCCGCGCGCGACGTTGGCCCAATACACCTGCGCCCGGCGCCAACGCGTCTCTATGCGTGCCTCGTCTGTCGCGGCCTTCTCTTCGGACGATTTTTTCTCCAGGTCGGCCCGCAGCCGCGCTTCGGTCGCAAAAACTGCTTGGCTTCCCACGCTGCATGTTCGGAACCGTCTGGGGACAGAGGCTTTGCTGTCCTTCCAGTGCACGAGACCCGGCTCCCCGGTGGCGTTGCGCCGTCCCCTCAAAGTCGATCTTGGAACGCTGGCTCCCTCTGGATGGGGTACGTGGGCCCACCATGCCTCTAGCCGTGAAACCCTTTGTGTCTTCACTCCAAAGTGCAGTCTAGAGCCTCATCGACAGCCAAGGCGACCCTCAAACTCCCCGTTGATGGAACCACACAATTTAGACTAGTCTACACTGCGGCTGCGTGACCCCGATAGAAGCAAGCCTAAAAATCGACAAGGGTCCCAAGAGTTAGCCTGTGCACTCCAGAGGCCGCCCCGCAGACGCACCACCGAGCATGTACATTTTACCAAAAACCTTCATCAATGTGTGAAACATGTTAAACTGCTTTTCTCACCCTAGCCAAAAAATCTTAAAATGGCTAACGAAGCGTCACGCCGGAACAACGCAAACCGTTCACTACCCGTTCCGCGCTACTGCCCGGAGGGCGACTCTTCTTGTCGTTTCCTTCTCCCCGCGATTGCCTGAGTAACTTTCGCTAGAGAGTACGACGCCGACTTGAGCACCCCTGCCGTCAGGAGACCTTTTGCTCCTTGCCGCAGGCTAGACCTTGAAACCACCGTCGCCAGAGCGCGAGAAACTTCCGCCGTCAGCGGAGCTCCACCGGTAGCAAGCTTGTTTCCAGCTGATCCGCCTTGGATAGAAAGCAGGGGTGTGACCGTTGTTGTTTAGATAATTGTCCCTCTCTCTACATTTCGCGACTCAATTGCGAAATCTCACCATCATTGTGTCTGTGTGCCGCGGCTGGTGTGTCAGTTTCAAGGTGCAGCTATGCCATTGCAAACAAAAACAAAAAAGAAGTAAACAATGAGGCTTTGGCAGGGCACTTGGGTCATTCAGAACGACAATATTGGCGTTGCTTCGAACCCAGAAGATTCCCGCAATATCAGGAATAGGCAGTGCGCCTGGACCAATGGAGCGAGGCTTGTGAGCCCAGTTTAAGCTCGGACGCTGCCCCATCACAGCCATCTCTGCCATAGCAAGCCATACGAGGCGAGCAGGAAAGCCCTACTGGATGGGGTTTAATTCACGGAGCCCCACCTTGCCCCAAAGGAAGCAGTCCTCGCACGGCCCCAGGAAGAGACCTCGCCAAAGTTAGTCGGGTGGTAGGCGATACATCCTGGTCATAGGAGGAGCAGTCAGGCCCCGTTGCGGTCATCCCCGGAATCCCCTTTGAACGGACAATCACGAGCAAAGTTGGTTGCGATTCTCTCGAGGATTAGGCTTCCACAAGGAAAAAATAATCGGGGCATATAACTGCATGACAGCAAGGCGCACGGCTAAAAGCCTGGCACACTGATGTGCATGAAGGTCTTTTTTCACCTTGAGGGCCGGCGCATACAGGTCTTGGAACCTTCCCAGGGTGGCGCTGACGATGTTCTTGACCTTGTCCGGGTTCTCGCCGAAGTACATGCGGAAATCGCCTGAAGGGAAGCGAGACCAAACATTAGAGAAATGGGCATCCGGTGTCAACCATCGTGTTCACAGAGCTGCATGCGACACCAGGTGTGCCGGAAACCATACATCAAAGGCGACAGGTGTTCAACTGTGCCTTTCGTCTCTTCGATTTCGAACTCTCCCCCTCCCTTCTGCTTCTGTAGAGGTGTTGATTGCGACGGCTGGTATCTTTTATTCGACGTACTCGACAGACACCCTTGATCTTGGTTGACACTGTGCTCACCCGTATAGGAAAGTCCCGCCACGGTGGTGTAAAACTCTTGAGCACTGAAACGCTCCGGAAGCAGAAGCAACGAAGCCTTCGCCGCGGACAAGAGGTTGCCTTCAATGATCGCCGAAGCTTTATCGTTTCCTTGGATGATGCGCACCGGCTTTTGCAGCCTGGAAACAAAACATTGCGCACTCCGACGTTAGCGTTCGCACTGCATATATCATACTGCGGTATAGTTGTGGGGCAACGTGAAACTGTCATTTTCGGATACGTGTATCCTGGCTAGTCGGAACCCCCTGGTACTACCGTACTTAACCCCCCGCTGGGATCACCATTCAGGACTGTACACCTGCGGTTCGCTGTGCCTTTTGGCTTATTCTTCTTCATTATTATGGCAAGCAAGGTATGCTCGGACTTCAGGAACAAGAGAAGGCTTTCGCTGGAAAGTATTTATCAACATATTTCTATCGAGCCGAAAACAGAAAAAATTACATCCCGCGAGTAATGAGGTGGGATTAAAGATGATACACCGATCATGGTACAGTACATTGCCTAATTTGAACTGAATCAGAACCGCCCGTGTCATCCGTAGAACTGGAGTAACGTAACACGCAACCAACCATCCTTACCGATATGACTCCTGAGGGCCCATATAACATACCTGCCGGCGGTGTAAAGCCAGGTCCAGTCGGTCAGATCCTCGGCCAGATGCTTCGTGCTGATGACGCCGTACTTCATCGAACGACCTCGGTGCGAGGTGGTCGATAACGGCACTAGGGCATTGTAGTACAGCTACACATGAGTGGAACGTTTTCGGCACGGAGAGGGAATGGATGAAAAAAATTAGTGCTGTAGGTATGGTGCAGGCTCATGCACAAGTAGGTTGATCGGTGGTGCGAGCGGATCAGACCGCCACATGGTGGTTGCGGCTAAATTATCACTGCTAACCACGTATGCTTGTGTAAGTAACCACGGCACCGGCTTCACCCGAAGAATAGACGCAGGCATCGTGTCAACGGCCGTTGGCGCAGCGAGGAAGTCACCTCACACCAGTGCATACCTTTGCTCCGAAGCCCTCTTGTAGCCAAGCGACTCCACCCGCCCCAAACAATCGTGCGAGTCCAGAGTAGTGATCGCGGTTCCTGCAAGCGCACGTAGGTGCACACCCCGGTGACACTCATCAACGTCTCATAAAACTCTCAATTCTCATGCGCCGGTACCAAACCTTGAGAACGAGGACAACTACAGCTGTCGTCGTGTAGTGCACAAGCACCTGCTGATCTGTGAGCTTGCGCGCAATCTTCTGTTCTAGGACGTGCTCACCTTTCGAGGTTGGCCTTGTGCCAAGCCTCCGAGTCTTCGACGGCCAGAACGAGGTCAAGCATGGGCAGATCTGAAGCGTTGGACACATTCTCCGCATAACCCTGCCGCATCATATGCACACACGAGCAGAAAAAGTCAGGTGAAGTTGTTGTTGTTGTTTCTCACATTAGCTCTAAAGTCCACCAAAAATGTGGAGCCCGTGGTCTCAAAACCCGGCACATACGACGCCGCGGGGAAACAAAACCAATTTAGGGTACAAACCACTCGGAAAAAGAAAACAAAATGAAAGAAAGAAAAGAACAGGTACCGCACCGACCGTTCGAGAAAAGAGCCCTCGGAAACCGATCAAAATAATACAAAAACAAAAATAGAGGAGGATGCTTCCCACACCTGCCTAAGGAAAAAATCAAAGGGTAACGTACCAGCACCAGGAACTACGCACCAGGGCATGGGAGTAACGGAGCAAACAGGACAAAGAGGCGAGTGTATGCCGGTGAATAACCGTATGGCTCGCTGTACCTTGGTGTATTGCACTGGCTTTCCTGGGCGGAAGACAACATCCCGCCATTCATAGTACATGAAACTAATATTATAACTCCAAGAAGGCCGAAGACCCGCGGAAAGGCCGCGGAACATTCTTGCGGACGCCGCGTGCTGAGCCGTGCCCAACCGCGAACGGCTCCGCAGGTCGATCGTTCTGCCGTGGGATTCTGCAGCTAGAGCCACGAAAAAAAAGTACGCACCAATTGAGCACTGACTGCAGTCCCGTGATTGCCCAAATTTGGACAGGGCACACTGCCCGCAGTGCCTCTCTGCGCAACTCAGATGGAGCAACGGCTGCGCGGTACCCACCTGTTGCTTGACCACGCCAGAGCCGTACGCAAAGGCGAACTCTGCCTCCGGGAACGCGGAGATAAGCTCGCCAAGCTCATCGTCGGACAAGAACTGCGTCAACTTTGCCATCTGTTCCCCTCTCTCTCTCTGACGGCATATGCATATGGCTGTGGTCACTATTGTGTTCCTGGGCGTTGCCAGCGCGATGCTCCGCGTGATACCACGAATCCCCCCATCCCACGGGGATAAGTTTCTGCGACTCCCCCTCGTAATTCCTCCGCACGTCTCTGCACTTGCCGTGCGGAGCAGCGGAGCTGCCTGCTGGAGGGAGGGCTTGGCCCAGCACTATGCGATCTGGAGCTAGGCTATGCACACTTATGTTGTGCTTGACTTGTGTGGTCGTTGGAGGACAAGAGGTACGTGTGACGAAATGGTATAGAGATGATGGCCACATGGCCACCACGCTCGAGCGGCCGTCTTGACAAAATTGAAATTTGAAAGAGACAGCGGCGAAGTCAACTATACTGACATGTAGACTGCAGACTACACATACGCATAGATGTCATGACCTCTTGACAGCAATCGCCCCTTGCTTGCAGCAGTTGACCGCGAGAGCACTTTCCCCGAAAAAGATTTGATGGCTTGGGGCTGTAGGAGAGAGATGCCCAAACCAGCCATTGGTCGGCAGTTGGTCATGGGGTCGAAATACTGGCTGTTCCACAGCGCTGTTCTTCAAAATCCACACGACTGTTCGGGGTGACACGTGTGCGTACTTCATCCGCATCTCCAGGTGTGGATGAATTTCGTTCACTCGTGCATTCGTAATTCGTGCAAGTATACGTGTGTACACGTGCTCGCGCCGCGGATCTGTAAACCACGCCGGCTCAACTATACTGACATGTAGACTGCAGACTACACATACGCATAGATGTCATGACCTCTTGACAGCAATCGCCCCTTGCTTGCAGCAGTTGACCGCGAGAGCACTTTCCCCGAAAAAGATTTGATGGCTTGGGGCTGTAGGAGAGAGATGCCCAAACCAGCCATTGGTCGGCAGTTGGTCATGGGGTCGAAATACTGGCTGTTCCACAGCGCTGTTCTTCAAAATCCACACGACTGTTCGGGGTGACACGTGTGCGTACTTCATCCGCATCTCCAGGTGTGGATGAATTTCGTTCACTCGTGCATTCGTAATTCGTGCAAGTATACGTGTGTACACGTGCTCGCGCCGCGGATCTGTAAACCACGCCGGCTCTGCATTCGAATTTCGAATTGTTCTCAGTGTTCACAACTACTGAGCATGGTTTTTATCCCACCTCGCACAAAGCGCTATTCTGTGTACCTGTGACCTTCAACTTCAATATATTGCTCCGTTTGTCCATGCGCGCTCGTGCATACTAGGACCTGCAAGATCAAGAGCATACGGCGGGGGGGAGGAGGGGTGGGTTGTTGGGGCGGGCCTTCCAACAAGCAAAGCGCATAGGGGAGATCGTCAACCCCGATGCTGTGGCCAACGCGGAGCAGGCTTGGAAAGTGAGGGGAGCCTGTAACAAAGAAAGCACAAGCCAATTTTTATTGTGTATGCATTTCAATCGTTTTCGGCTCTGCCGGTTGTACGGCGCTTGGTAACCCATTCGTACCAGACGTGGTTTGACATCATTGCACCAAAGGCCACTTATTCCCAACCGTTCCGCATCTTAAACGCGCCGTTTGCAAAGAGCGGCGCACACGGCTATCACCAACAAAACCAAAGCAACAGGCGATGATCCATGTACATAGACAAGGTTTTGTTAGCAACCCTTTCTGCTATCGCCATCACCCCAGGAGCTTGCACCCGACTTGCGGCAAGCCGCAGACGACCTTCTCCGAAGCAAGGAAGAAATTTTGTTCGCTGGAACGGAGGCAAGAGACATCTGGTCCGCTGCCAAGGAGGCCTGGTCAGGGTTTGGGGCGGTAGAAACAGATCGAACAGCGGCCGACAGCAGTGCTACCTTTGCGCAGGAGAGGGAAGAAGGGGGTTCTGTCACGGTTGGATGGGAGGGCCTCAAGAAGGACATTGAAAGGGCAGCCCAGGGGGTCTTCGGTGATGTGAGCGTTTAGGGATTTGCGGTTGACTGCACTGGTTGAGGTGGTGCCGCGGTCGATGCCGTTGCCATCCTCACAAGAAAAGTCACACGAAAGGGCCACAACAGCGTGCGAACTACAGAGTCCTTTGCATGTGTGAGTCAGACTGTTTCGGAGCAGTAGGTAGCCGAACATGTTTTTCGCTTTGCCGAGGCAGAAAACACAACGTTTAAACGGGAGGAGAACACTCTGCATGAATCTCTGCCCGTGTCGTTGCCACTGTCGAGACCCTCACGTCGCTCCCATACACACCTCACTGCTCGCACAAGCCAACTGGCGGTTTCATTGTCACGTGTACACAAGAAGCCTTCACTTCGTTTGACACACAACACTACTCGCGAAACGACACCATTGTACAAGCGAAGGTCTTCGGAGAGGCCGCCGACGAAGTCTTGGCATCTTTCGAGACCCGCCTATCAGAGGCCCTGTCGGAAGGCAACGTTCGCGCGGCTTCTCAGCTTTGGCGTCGCCTGCTGGACACGCCGGGGGTACAGCTTCTCGCCCAAGACCGGCGGTTGTGGGCAGGGGCGGAAAAAGCGGTGCGGCGGTACCTCAGCGGCTTCTTGAGCGAGAAGTCGGCGAAGGAAGCGCAGAGAGCAGTCAACGCCACGGCGGACTTCGCACTACACTTCGCGTAAGTGATTATGACGGCAGTGTTGAAGAATTCTGGTCCGTTTATTTGGCGTGCTTGGGATCCACGATGCGTCGTACCATATCCGTACGCCGGTGCTTCGGTTGACCTTTTGACGGCCCAGTTGATTCTTCTCGTTGGTGGTGAACACGTGTTGAATGTGTGTGTCGTCCTATGTAGTCTGGACGTCAGTTTTTTTGCACCTGACCGTTGTTTTGTCTGGGCGCATCAGCCGGGGTGATGAAGGAGAAATGAAGACCAAAACAGGATTACCTGTTGCACATTGTTTCTCTTTTCTCCACCTTCGGTCTTGGTGCTTGCCTTCGTTGCTATCTGGAAGAGGAGACAGGCGCTTCTTTACCTCGTCGACCATGATTTAATCGCCTTCGTCTGTTCTGGGCATTCTATGAGAGAAGGGGCCATTCGTTTGACTTCGCCGAAATTCGAACGCACGTCCCAAACGCGGAAAGGTTACGAGGGTACTCAGCCACTGTTGCTTGATCAGTGAGTACTGTCGGAAGGTTCTGTAGACATTTAGTGTACTTGCAGGATGGTTTACGAGCCTCCTTTCGCAACGCGCTGGCGTGTCGCGGCACTCTTGCGAGCGTAGCACCACTTCGAACCAACTCCGTTGCAACGGCCTTGTGTCTGTGCAGGGGGTTGAGTCGCAATGCCGCCAAGAGCGACCACGAGGTGTTCGAGGAGCTGTCCCACAAGCTCTGTCATCTGCAAGTGCGCGAACGGTTAGCTCAGGCTATTGCCGAAACCACAGCTGTCGCCTGCCGTCGAAATCGGCACAACGCTACAAGTGTGGCATCCATCTCGCATTCATCGGCAAACACCCAAATCTTGGTCCTGAGACTACTTGCGAAGCGCGACAGCTTCACAAGGGAAGATATGCGGGCAGCTTTGCTTTTTTTCTGCCTTATCGCGCACCAACTCCCCTCGTCCCTACCAGACGCGCTTCACACGGCCGTGTCAGGCCATTCTCAGGCCAAATATGTAGATCTCTGCTTCTATGTTGGAAGCTCGGGGGCCTTCTCGTTTTCAAGCCTTGGACGTTCAGCTGGTTGTCTCCGCCCATTACTCAGCGGCTTGTCGTTTCGGGTCCTTAAACGCTGTCAAATACGTTTGCGTATGAGCTGACGGGGAAACACTTGGGTGTCTGCTTGATACCTAAGTAAGCCAACTTTCATCGTTGCTGATTTGGTGTGCTTCCCTCCGTCCATCACCGTTCCATCCACGCCCGCCCGGTCGGCAATCCTTCAAGGGTGCTGCGGAAAAGCTTTGGCCCTTAGCGGTGCTTGCTCTACCCTTGCTGGGATACCAGGACTACGCTAAAAAGCTCGAGAGCGCGATTAGATCTAACGCTCTGTCCAGGTGATCTAAGACACCTTTGGGACTCACGTCAATGTCGAGGTTTTCCACAAGCCAAACGAGTTAACAACCTGACGGTTCCAGGCGATACGGTTTCGACCGTTCTTGTCCCTATGCAGACACCCGAGTCTTGATGGAGTCGGTTTCCCCCCACCGGTACCGAAGGACGTTGGTCCGTACTTTCGGTTGCTCCTAGCCAGTGGTTTATTACCGATCGTCGCTTTTGCAATCGGTTTTATTCTGATGGGAACTACGCAACCCCCATGTTGTGGCTTAACGTATCGAGCAGGGGTCCGTTCTTCCTCAGACACAACCTGGTTAAGATTCGCCAGTAAATGGTTCACACTGCACCTTGTTTTCTCAAATGCAGCGTCCGTTTACGTTTGATGGTCTGGTAACTCCCGTTTGCATTTTTATCTGCAGGGTAACGCAGACCGTCTCTGCGACCGTGTTGTTGGGCCTCAATCCTCGTGATCCTTTCCTCCTGACACTCATCGCCTCCTTCTCCTTAGGACACCTCTCCAAGGTGAGCAATGCGGACAGATAGCGGTAACGATACTCTTTCGGTGTTTGGCTTTTCAGCTTGTGTGGGAGCCGAATGTTCGGACCAACTCCAACCTAGCGCCGATTGTTCATTAGAAATGGTACCCTCCTTACCTGCAATTCACCGGCTTCCGTGCTGCAAAGCGTGTCGTATGTGTGGCCCCCAGTCCAAAGAGAGGCACACGGAGATTTTGTGCCTACGCGACGGCTTGTTGTGAACCTATTTCTCCCTCGTCGGTCTTTGGTCTCGAGCCGATTGATTGCAGCACATTTTAGTGCTCATGTAGTTTTGGTATTTGTCGTTGGCTCGTTTGGGATTGAATCTACGGCATGACAAGGCGTAATTGTTGTAATGTACTCCTACTACACTGGCACTGGGAAAACACACACACGGCTTTTTTTAAGCCTCAAGTATTTGCTGCTACCTCTTCCTCAAGTGCGACACTGTGGGGTCGGTTTTTCCCTCTTCAAATCCCGGCAAATCGTGTCGTTCCTGCAGCATGGTCACAATCGACACCAAACCCGTCTGTACGTTCTTCTTGCCATCTCGTTCCGTCCACCAGGATGTTGCTCAAAACATGGCTGCATTTTTCCAGAAAGTCTTGGTGGATCAGGTCAGATTTGACCAGCCCCAGACGAAACAATCGCTCTCCGATGCTGAGGGAGCACCATTATTGAGTCCTGTAGACCTGGCGACCGAGCTCGTGACAGGTACCAAGACCTGCCAGGAGCTAGGACACCAAGCATTTGCATTCTTCAAGGTATGGTGGTGATATGCCCAGGGTCTTGATGGTTTCCTCGATGAGGATTGGTTCACGTGGATCTTTGTACAAAGGTCCGAGAGTTGAAGGAACAATGGGTGTAGCAATGATGGAGAAATGTTGTATTTGTTGCTGTATCAGATCTCTCGCGCAATGCCTACGGCACACAACTACACAGGTGGCCCAGGCGCACATTATATGCACCCATTGCACAATGCCGAAAAATGCGCACTCTATTTCCAGTTAAAACAACGTTCCATGTTGCTTACCCCGGTGGCATAACCTGGCCAGGTCAGGTAAGCATACAAAACATAACCTCGTGGGTTAGGGTTATCCTTGGCTCACAGCGTCGCCAGGTTGGACCCTGATCATGGAACGTTGTTCTGCCCGCTCGGGACAAACGTTCGCAGTCGGATACGAAGTATCAGTTTTGTGTTCTTTTGTATTCATTCGGCGGTCGTTAATGCGTTAGCGCGCATTGCACATATGCAAACTCCCGGGCGTCAACACCGTAGTGAGCGCATGACACCCCGGCAAGAACAAACGTTGGCCTATTCTGCAGACAAAAAGAAACGACGCCTCAAACCAAGTTTGAATCGTGATTTACTCGACAAACGCAAGGTCCCAGCAACCACAATCGTGGCCCGTGGCTTCGCATAGGGCACGCACTATGCAAAACAGGTTGGACACGTACGCGCGAGAGAACCACGGCGGCACGAGGGCGGACAAGATGGCCGCGGCTTCCCGAGCAAAGAACCATGCTGACGTCAAGAATTTAACAACTAGCCCCACACAGCCATATGCGGCTCCACACACGTTTTCGACCGGCTCATCACTTCGCGACCTCCCGCGCAAACAAGCATTTGCACCGAGGAAGCCCATCTGGAGTAGCAGCAGATATTGTCCCGAGCCACACGATCGTTGGAGCCTATCACGAACGAACCCGCACTGGTCGCCGTCGACACCGCCATTCAGTATCAAATCAAAACAAGAATTGACGTAAAAAAATAACGGAAGAGCGGAAAAACGAATTTTGGTGACAGGAAGCCGAACAGATTGTTCTAACGCGAGCTAGATCTTTCGGCCTGCTGTGTCATAGCCATAGCCATAGGCCTGCCTTTCTGGCACGGTCGCTATGACATGCATTAGGTAAGATTTACTGACCACTTTGGTTTGGCGGCCTGGGAGTCTACGTAAGGAGTTACTGACCACTTTGGTTTGGCGGCCTGGGAGTCTTAAGTAGAGCAACACAGAAGACCTCATCGCTCGACACATTGACCATCACGATTTCTCCAACGGAAAGGATCCTTGGAAAGGACATGCCACCGCACGACTTCGAGGCGGCAAAGTGGAGCAAGCCATGCGTCTTCCCTAGGAAGCCTTTGTCGGGCGTTTCGCACAATCATATGTTTTTCCAACGATTTCCGCCCGCCCAAAAATCCCCGCAGGTGGTGCAGCGGGCGCTAGAGGGATCATCCCCATCGTTTGTTGTTGAGAGCGTCGACGTCAACGACAACGGTGTACATCCGTCGACAGAGGCATCTACGGCGCTGCAAGAAGGGAGGCCACCGCCACAACCCCTTCAACAACGTGGCCCTCGCCGCACCCCCCGCAAGCTCAAGCTGGAAGGCATCGTTCTCCGGCAAGCTATCTGGGTCGCGGCTGTGATTGACAGCAAGTACTTTTCCTTGGAAGTTCTTGTCGTGTGTCTTGTTGTGGGATGTGTTTTGGTTTTTGGCTCAATATGGGTTTGCTGTTGGCGGGGGTTGAGGGATAAACGTGGCCGTCCTCGGATGATCAAAAAGGGGAGAGGGGGTGTGCAGCTGTATCAAGCACCGCGACCGGCTTTAGCGGCCCGGCGAGAGAAGACGGCGTGAGAGGCGCGTGTTCCTACGATGAGACGCGTGTGGTGTTATTGGAGAGGTCCAGCCTTCCGTGCGGCATGTTGTTTATACTCTGTATCTCACTTGGCGGCTTTTCCCTGTTCCTGTTACCTGTTTGGGCACGTACGTACTGTGGGAGTGTCACACTCTCAAGTCATTCTGGATTACCCTTCCGAGAAACTGGTGGTCATCCGTGTGTGTTTTACGATGTTGTTCATCTGGTACTTTGTAAAAACGTTGTGTATGTCTATGATACGTGTTGCTTGACTGGTTGTTTGTAGTGACGTTTCCATCAATGGCACGGTTGATCGAATGATTAGTGAGATGTGACACCGGAGGTGTTTCGTGATTGTTTTTTCAAGAGAAATATGTAGTAATGCGTTTTGCCAGTTCTCCGAAATCCTCAGGTGCTGTCGGCGAGAAAGGCAACTCGAACGAGATATGCATGGCAGCATTCATCACGTGGGGTCCAAAGACCGCGAAGTGAATTATGAATGATGATCCCTGTGGTAGGCACAGCCCCCCCGTCCCGGAATATTCATAATTAACACAAAACCATTAGAGCGTGGGTGGCTGAGGAGCCCCACAGGCCCTACAAGTAAGTCCTCGTTGTGACGGCCCCCACTTTTTTTCTCTCTGGTTGTTTGCGCTTTTTTTCTGCGCCAAATCCCATCTAATATGTCGTGTGGAGTTAGCAGTGCTGCACATGACTGCGTCGATCGAAACAACTGTTACCTCCAAGGCACCTATATCGGCACTATGCGCGTTATAGCACCGAGACAAAATGGATGTGTGGCGCGGACCAAATCAATCATCATCATTGAAAGTGCCCTCCGCACCGATTTTTGGATTTACATCTACACAGCAGTAGATTACTCTCGTCCGCCGATTGTTTGACTCCGAAGTGGTCATTCGAGTTGTCGCCCCGGGTAATCGTTCCCGCACAGAGTCGGACGCCCCGGAGCAAGGTGATGAAGACCCGATATTGGAGACGCGCGGGGACCACTTCCACCCTCACTCTACGAGCTAAGGGGACAACGGCCTACCTTCCCCGGGTCTCCAATGGACGAACATGCTCCCCATTTCTGAGGGGCTCCGCCCTCTCCCCCACCCTCTCCCCCGCCCTCTCTCCTCTCCCTCTTGCACCCCTCGTGTCCCTGCAGCACTGCAACACTGCTGTAGCTCGTGAGGATGAAGCGCCGACAAGCCTACAGTAGCGCCGTGCTGATAGCCGGCTACGGCCTTCTACCAAGCCCATCGCAGGCCTTCGTCGCCCCTTCACCGCGCTCATCCAGCGCAAACCGTCATGAACGGCATCGGTACCGGGTATCCAACGCCAACACTGCTTTGTCGATGGCGTGGGGCCCTGCTGAGAAGGCGGAGATCCTAAGTGGCCTAATAGACTGGCAAGAGCGAGATGTTGACGGAGTTGGGGCGGCCGATATACAGATTCTGACGGAGTCGTCTCCCACAGCAGGTATGCAGGTAACCTGTTGCTGCACGTTGGAACGTTGGAACATGCAGGTGACGATTGCACATTTCACCGCATTTTTTACGGGCAACATCAACCACGCCACCCTTACTTCTGCTTTGCGGACTTTTTTTGCCCGTAGCTCTCCTCTCCTATATGCTTTGTGGGAGTATTGGTGCGGGTTTGCGACACTTCCGAGCGGCGTCCGTGCGTTGAAACATTGCGATAGGGACGGACGTGGTGCGACCTCTTCAAATTCATCTGTGGTCATCATGTGTCACACGTGAAGTTCATGCGCACCACCTCCAACGGTCCCGAGAGCGCCAGCAGCGCGACCTCGATCGTACGCCAGTAGACCAATATAGACGGTAGCATTTTGCTCTGCATCTTGACGAGGTATGCATTTTGCCGCTGTTTCTTCCCGCGGGGGGACATGTCCTGTTGTGTGCTGCTGCTGCTGCTGCTGCTGCTCGCCCTTGCAGTGCTCACACGCTACTACGAGTCCTTGGCGAAGGGAGAAGCGCAGCAGATGCTCCTGGTAAGACAAGTGTCTTTTTTTTCTGAGGCGAGACGACTATACGAATATCTGGATGATTTGCCGCACGTCTCTGTCACCGAAATTGGCTAGATAAAGTGCATCACCTTCATCTCTAGACTTGCCACAAAAGCACTCTTGCTGTACATCTCTAGGCCTGCCCAGAGGCGGTGGGTACATACAGCAAAAATTTTGCCCAGGGAGGGATGGTCGTATGGAGACGGAGACCCGTTCCTGCGGTGCTGTCAAACGGGTGTCCTCGGGGGCCATCTGAAGCAGACGGGGGACCGTTTGCCTTGGGCCGATACTTTTGTACACCCCAGGACGTGCTCAAGAGATGATGATTGTTGCCCAGCGAATGTGCAGGGGGTCTATTACAGTAGCACTACACAGCAGTAGTAGTACCTTAACCATGGTACAACTTGTCTGCCTCACCGCAGCTCCGTGGATCATTCCTTGGAACTCCTCCTGCAGAACGTACGTGCATTCACCAAAACCCCACGACAACACGACAACACGACAACGACGAAACATGACCACGAACGTGTTCCCCACGTACGCAAGAGAACGCCGCGTCACGCTCGTCCCTCACCTGCTATGACGTGCACATGGTTCCAGGTGGCACCCTCTTGCACGATCGAAAGCGGGTGCACCACGGCGTTAGAGGCCGCCCTCTCCTCCTCATGCATCTCCAAAGTTTATCACCCCGACGTGGAGCAGGGGCTGGGCGGGAAGGCGCCGCACCTGGCTCTATGGCACCAGGGAGGTTCGTGTTTGTGTTGGGGGCCTGCTTTGGGACGGCGTTTGGCATGAATGCTAAGTGGTGATTGTTGTGTGGTGTCTAGGGTAGACAGTGTACAGTTGACTGGTATTTACACGCAAGACAGGCTGCCACTGTGTTAGTAGGGCGAAAGACATGCCAGATTTCCCGACCAGCAGAGGCTTCACGAATGGACATGACTACACGGGTTGGTGTGGTCACTGTGCGCTTGCACGGCGGTCTCACGTTGTTCCTGGCCACTGCTGCATTATCCTGTCCCGTACCCCCCTTGTCGTGAAACGTAATCTCTGTGGAACAGTTGCTGTGGAAGAGCTCTCTCCAAGCAACGATTTGGAGCAGAAAACCGCCTCATGTAAGCATATGACTTGTGATGACTTGTGGTTATTACAGCAACAGTCCGAGAGGTGGCACCGCGGTGCGTGCAAACAGTTCCGCCGTAGCGCTAGTAACAAGGCCGCTGGGTGAATTTCATTGGGCTTCACACCGGGTGCATTCTCTAACCCGCAAAACACGAGGAAGAAACAATCTAGAAATTGACTCTTATGGTACCCGTCCTGCACCTTGTGCTACACATACTTGTCTGATAGATCATGCTGTCATGTGGTTCACGTGCGTTTCGAACCATCTGAGGTGCCCGTGCCAGCAGCTTCCGAGAAGACGCCTCTGCGCATCAGAGCATGCCACGTGCGGGCTGTGCCTGAGAAAGCGACATGCTTCCATCGATTTGTCCTGGCTCGAAGAAAACGCCCACCGTATGCTGCATCCCTTAAGATTTGACCTCATCAAACCATGTCAGAGGCAGGCGCCTCAGACCTTCTGCTCAAACGGACGTATAAACAACGGCTTCTATCCAACCAACTTGAGCTTCTGATTTTGGTTGCCCCAACGGATGATGGAGATGTCGTAGATAGCGGATGAGTTGGTTCACCGCCTGAAACAATCTAGAAAAGACCGATGCTCTTCGTCATGGATGAACCCAACACCCCGCCACCCTTTCCCGCGCCGATTATGTCTTCCACGTCGACAACAACACAAAAAACGAACCTAACCCCATAAACGCAGTGTCTAAAAAGGCTGTGATGGAAGAAGTGTTTCTCTGGCTGCAGCGCACGATGCTGGGCATGGTGGACGACGAGGAAGAGGATTTCGTCGAGCTCGGCCGGAGACTCTTGACAGTGCACAGGTACGTCGTAGTCAAGGCCACCACCGAGGTTGAACTATCGCAAGCGTTCTGGCAGGAGGCGACGGCGCTGGCGAAGCATGGCGCAGAAGCGGCCGCCGAAAAGAAGAAGAAGGATGCCGAAGAAACGGCGAAACAGAAAGTGAAACAGCATGCAGAGGAAGCAGCGAGAGTTGCAGCGGCAGAAGTTGACGAGGAGGACGCCGAGAGGCCAGACAACAAGGACGGCGCAAAGACAGAAAGTTTGGACGTCACCGGAAGCACAAAAAAGAAGGAGGTCGACACGGAAGGGAAGAAGGAGGAGGAAGACGTGCTCAAGAAGTCTGGGCTTGGCGGGGGCGACGATCCGAGGGAGGCCAGCGTTCTCATGGCGCTCCCTGGGTTCAGGTTTAAGGTGGGCCAAGCGGACGCGGGGCATATTCTTGGTTTATAGAATCGCATAAGTGATTGGTCGACCAGAGGTGTCTGTGGTACACTGTACGCAGGGTGCGTGGAATTCTTGCTGTAAGCGGGCTTCCGACGCGAGGTTGCCGGAATGGTAGGAGTCGCCAGGGCTCTGCAGTCCTGCGCCTTGTTTGATGAGATGGGCGTTGCTTATTCGTGCACAAAGTTTGGCCTTCGTTTGTTGCTAGTTTCCGGATTGCTCCGCTGTTCTCTACCATATAGCTCGACGGTGGTTGCTCGACCGCAGTGAAGCACACGTCACGTACAACTTATCTGTCAATCAAATCCGCCGAATGTTGGCGGATACATCGACATTCAGGTTGAGAGCCGTCCCAAGAAGGACTGACGCCCTCCACTCTTGGGCCGTGCTTTGGCGACACTTGCAATACACTGCACCCAAATTCGCCGACACCAGTCGCGCACAGCATCAACATGCATCTGGCACCCCTCACAGTGATTTGCCACCCTCATTTTTGCGGAGATAACCCCCCACGTTTGTAGTTGCCTGTTTCGTTGTTTTGTTGTTCCGGTAGACTGGAGCGTTGGAGGGGACCCGTCTACCCTCTTGTTTCCCTCACTCTTTCCTTTTGTCCTTTTTTTCTTTTACTTTTCTTTCTTTCTTCGTCTTTCTTTTTCCATCCTTTTTTGACCGGGGTCGATCGTCTGTACTCCCCGGTTAGCCTTTTAAGCTTTTTTCCCTTAGTTCGTTTCTCTTTGTTTGGAGGAATTTTGTTTGGTGTCCATTTTTTATTTGGGAAATGTTCAAAAGTGCGTATACCCACGCCGTTCTCGTACAAAAGTGGTTACTCGAAAATCCAGCGCACGCGCACTCCCAAGGCAACCCCCAAACGACTCAAAACCCCATTCTGACACCTGGGCGACACAGCCAGGGACCATACACAGCACGGGCATCGATTGTTCCCACTTTCAGGCACACCTTCGGCCCTAATACCGCCGAGGCGCGCAAGGCCTCACCAGAGTGCCCACTTCTGTCCGACATCGCGGTGGGTATACCCAGCGGCGTCAACTAGTTTTTTCATGTACCCACTTATGTATATATTCTGACCCACTTTTGTCCAAATTCTACCCACTTGTGTTCACTTACGGACGGCGGAAATCGAGCGGAAATCAACCTCCACGTCACCGCACGGCAGAACATCGAATAGCCTCGGAACGTCTCAGAACCTCCCAACACCGTATCCATGGCATATTTCCTATCCATGGCTGTCGACTGCGGACCGACCGCGGAGGAACACGTCAGAAACATGCCAGGCCCCTTCGGTACCGGCGCGGGAGGATACCAGGCACGGGAAGATGCCCTTGGCAAGCCCCGCAAGCAGCGCACTAACGGCAAACGCTACAAATAAATGCGTGACACACAACGGACAACAGAACCAACGGGTCGCGCATACAGAACGAAAAGACGCGCATACAGCAACAACACACACACACGCGCCACACGCACAAACCAATACCAACCACCACGACGAGTGCACACCGACTCGTCACGGCAGCAACAGCATGTCGAGGCAGTTTGCCACGTAACCACATGATCTTAATAGGGTATTCATATGCACAACATGCATATGGTGTATACGAAGTGAAATACCGGCTCGATATCCCCTAAAAATCTAACCGATCAAGAGACCAAAACGGATACCGTTCGCTACGCTACGTTCGTTCGCTGCTACTTTATGGATGGTAAAGAAATAGGCCGCACATTGCGTACTCCGGAGCAACCATAAGAGTTGGCGTACACATGGTTTCATACTTTGCATGCATACGAAGTATTTCGAAGCACTACTAGTTCAGGGGTGCCGCGCTTGGGGTTGCGTGGCAAACTGCCTCGACATGCTGCTGCTGCCGTGACGAGTCGGTGTGCACTCGTCGTGGTGGTTGGTATTGGTTTGTGCGTGTGGCGTGTGTGTGTGTGTTGTTGCTGTATGCGCGTCTTTTCGTTCTGTATGCGCGACCCGTTGGTTCTGTTGTCCGTTGTGTGTCACGCATTTATTTGTAGCGTTTGCCGTTAGTGCGCTGCTTGCGGGGCTTGCCAAGGGCATCTTCCCGTGCCTGGTATCCTCCCGCGCCGGTACCGAAGGGGCCTGGCATGTTTCTGACGTGTTCCTCCGCGGTCGGTCCGCAGTCGACAGCCATGGATAGGAAATATGCCATGGATATGGTGTTGGGAGGTTCTGAGACGTTCCGAGGCTATTCGATGTTCTGCCGTGCGGTGACGTGGAGGTCGTTTTCCGCTCGATTTCCGCCGTCCGTAAGTGGACAACAAGTGGGTAGAATTTGGACAAAAGTGGGCCAGAATATATACATCAGTGGGTACATGAAAAAACTAGTTGACGCCGCTGGGTATACCCACCGCGATGTCGGACAGAAGTGGGCACTCTGGTGAGGCCTTGCGCGCCTCGGCGGTATTAGGGCCGAAGGTGTGCCTGAAAGTGGGAACAATCAATGCCCGTGTTGTGTATGGTCCCTGGCTGTGTCGCCCAGGTGTCAGAATGGGGTTTTGAGTCGTTTGGGGGTTGCCTTGGGAGTGCGCGTGCGCTGGATTTTCGAGTGACCACTTTTGTCCGAGAACGGCGTGGGTATACCCACTTTTGTCCATTTTCCTTTTTATTTTTTCGAACGTGTACCCCCCATTGGGGGGCAGTTGGCTTGTGACCACGGAAGGCGTCCGCGTCAGTTGGATCAGTACGGACATTAGAAGGTACTGAGCGGAGACCGGACCGGTTTTTTATGTGAACCACGCCAACAATCACGTCTAACCACACCGCACCCTGAATATGATGCTGCCACGCCGACATGAAGGACCGGACTATTTTCGGGGAGTTCGTGAGAGAAAAATTGGTGGCACCTCTTATAACGCTGTCGCCGTTCGGTGAAGACGGGATTGAGCTCTCGGCGGTTATCTACGCCGGAGAAGACCTCAAGTGAGTCTTTTGCACACCAAACGGCACAACCGCCTGTATGGTTTCTTCCTTTTCTTGCTCATTTCTCTTGTTTTTGGTAAGTGAATGTCATGGCTTTGGCAGCACCAGAGGCGGTTCTGTTACCAGGATGTATAGTCCAGATCGCGCCGTCGTCGAGTTTTTCTTTGTCAGGGCTGGCGGCACTGTGGAAGCGAAGCTTGTTACCAGCTGTTGTGTACCAGGTACATCAACAGCTCGTGGCGTTCCTGGTGTTGTAGAGAACTAAACCGATAGCTCTTTGCGGGAGGTCCGGATGCCTCACGCCTCACCATCGTCCCTCGTGCACGTGCTTTCCTGCATCGCGCCTGCCTGCCTGCACACGACCCTCACCAATCTGTTGGATTGGACCCTAGGTTCCCGGTGATGATCGTGAGCCCGCAGCTGAAGACGTTCGAAGCGCCAGAAGGCGGTTACAAGTTCATCTACAAGGGGGAGGAGAAGGACGCCAACGAATACATCCGTACAGAGGAGCTTAAGATGGCGAGAAAGGCCGACGAGCGGCGGGAGACGGTGGCGGTGGAGCAAGACCCGCTCTTCGGGCCGAGGTCTCCACCACCGCGAACACCACCGCCCCCATCTGCCGACGAGGACTCAAATTAGATCGCAGGCCCTTATAACTCGTCAAGGTGATTGTGTTCTTCCACTCTCGATCGGGTACTGTAGCACATGGCCGACAGAGTGCCCGGGCGTGTGCTACAACTGAGGGTTTTTCATGTGTTTTTTTTGTCGGCGATCGCCTGTCAGATTCGGTTTCAGGCGATCAGCGACCACAAGAACTTGTGTGGCACGCTCGTTCTCGTGGCAGTTGAGTTCCGTCCTGATGTTGTTCTGGCCATGGTGTCAGTATCCCATCAGGGCCGAAAACCAAAGGGTGGTACACACGGATGTCAACCTGTTTTTGTACAGGAAATCTACGGTCGACAAGCCAAACAGTCGTACAATCCATAATCCACAAATTCGTCTTGAAGGTCCACAAACCTTACCCACTATGGACACTAGAATCAAGCACGCCGTGATGTACTGATTCCAACACCCAGCATTTACCTGGAAAAAAACACTACAGGCAAAGGAGGCTGGACCACGACACACCCAGGGGGGGCTTACACGCTCCGTTCTCCCACTTCAACCGTCATAAACATGTTCTACCCGTTGTCCGACCAGCGACGCAATCTATAGAGTACCAAATGACAATGGGGTACCCTCCCAAAGGTTTATTCCTGTGGAATCACGTATTCATAAAGAGCGCCGCAAGGTGTGCGCTGAAGTGCCTGAACTTGCAACGGAGGAGGGGGGCGCGCCACATTCACACCGGGGTATCCACTTATTATCCACCGACCAGGGAACGCCTCTCTCGAAGGTCATTGAACAATACGCAACGTCGAATCCCGACATGTCATTAGCCTAGAAAGAAAAGCGAAGTCCCTCATTTTTTTCAATGACGTCATACTCGAACGAGCAACCGGAACTTGTCGACCGCGAACTTTCTCGTCCCAGTAGCCCCCCCGCCTGACCCCGGTCGTGATTCCATGGCAACCAGCAGGTTATCGTCTAGCGCCAAGACCTCCAATCCTTCTTGTGCGCCGCCAGTGTTCACAAGCCCGGCCCACTTGGAGCTGGTGCAGCACGCGCGGACACGATGGCGGCGGAGGGAGCAGGAGGGATATTCTCTTAGTATTTAGACTACTGTAGCACACACACACAAACGCGTCGAATTCCACCGAATGGAACTCATTTCGACGCAGACTTTTTGTTTTTCAACAACATCTGCCGAGCGACCTCCCACCGGCTGCATCAGCCACGAGCATACCATATTCACCACTGACTGTGTGCACATGACTGGCCCTCGAGAACATAACATGGCAGCAACAGCAAAGCGGCCTTTCGCCATTTTACCTTGAGAAATCAAGCTTGATGACTCGGTTGTCCGCGTCCAGCTTCCACTCTCCTTCCTTCGTCACGGACAACAAGGGCCCGCTGGGCTCTACAGCAGTCAGCTTCCCGCCTGGGTTCAAGACGAACGGGCTGTCTCGCTGTAGGACGTCCACCGAGCTGTGAAACGGACAAAGGGGTGGGTACTTCGACGTTAGGGCGGTGGGGAAGGAGAAGACATCGTGCCAAGAAAACAGATGCAGCTAATTCGTCATCAAACTAGCTGAGAGAATCTTGGGGGCACGAGTTTCAAAGACGACACGGACGGTGTACGACCGGAAAGTGAGATAAAAGTGGGCCGAGATAAACTCGACATAGCTCTCGTTCAACGCTTTCTTTCCCAAGCGGGCGCATGGTTTCAAAAGAACATCCGCCGCATCCAATCCCCCGGCTCATTACCTCCGTCCTGTTCACAAGTACACGGGAACATTTCGAATCACGGACCTTCCCCCAGCCTTGATCGTTAGTTTCCACCCTCCCTGTATCCGCTCCTCTAACTTCGACATGTCCCCCATCAAGGACACCAGCCCGGCGCCTCCCTGCGGCAAGGTGCTCTCGGTGTTCTTCTCCCACGGGGTCTTTTTTAACGCGAACAGCTCTTCTTCCGTCTTTTCTCGCTTCCTGCCGCTGCCACCTTCCTCTCCATTCTCCTTTTCAGCGGCAGCAGCAGCAGCAGCAGCATCGGCGTCGTCCTGGGCTTGCTGCTGCTGCTTTCGGATCAACGACGCCTCTCGTCGTGCCGCGAGAGAGGCTTCCTCCGACCTTTGCTTCAAGAAGTCGAAGGCGGCAATGATGCGATTCTTCGAGATCCCTCCCTTGTACTTAGACGCGAACGTCAGCACCTGCGACCACGAAGTGGGCACCAGTGCGCACGACAGCCAGCAGCATTACTCTTCGTCCCTTCTTTTGCCAAACACGCGATTGTTCGAAAATAACAGCGGCCCGATTTCGAGTAAACAGGCTCGAAACCTAGACGAAGACCCGGGTTGGTACTCTCTCTCTCTCCTCCTCAAAATATCTCTCGCACAAACCTCCCGTCGGCGGTGTCGACGAGGGAAAAAACAAACAGCAATCGGCCAGGCGGGTACATCATGAAAGGTCAACCCAAGGTCGTTGGGCGGGTGTACCTGCTTAGCGTCCTCTACAGCAAACACGCCATCCTCGGAAGGCCTTCCGTCGGCATCCTTCTCGTAGTACACCTGGCTGTACTTCTTCTCCTGGTCTCCAGACATCTACTCAGCAGTTGTACATAAAAAGCGGCGGATGCAAGGGTGGAGGCAAATCAAACTTGAAAAAATTAGCCTAGCCAATAACAGGATAGACAACAGTGGAGATATGACGACAGCGTCAAGCAGACGCATGTGGGGTTTGAGACAAGCGCACTCCTCTGTTTCTGATACGCCAAAGCTTCGCGTTTACGACTCCGAACGGCCAAAACACACGCCAACACACATCAGGGCACGTCTACCAGCAAGAACCGCAAGCACACCGCTAGAAAAAGGCAAAATCCACTAAATAGACTACTCAGTCAGCGGCTGAGTAGCAGTGCCTGACTGTAGCTAATGAATTATCCGGACACACACTACAGGGCTCAGGGCGGTGGAAGCGCGGAGAACACAAGAATTTGGCGACAAAAGGCCGGCGATACGGCAACCAGCAAGGCACAAGCATCGGAAGAAAGCAAGCGAGGGAGCTCACCGGGGTGAAGGAGGCTGTCCACATCTTGGAAACCTCGGAGACCTCGTTAACCTCTCCTACACGACCGAACTTAAGCATATCCATCGCCTCCAACCCCTCATTCAGCCTGAATCAACAAACGATTAAGGCGTCGAAACTTTAGATGATATGCCGCAAGTTTGAGAGGCATCGCACGGTCGGGGTTTGTCGCAAGGAGTGCGTTGAAGACAAGACCAAGAGGATAAACCCCTGCGCGATGACTTGCATATGTCTGGTGCACGCGCGCGGGCGCAAGTCCGAACAGTCCAGCGGGCTAGTTAGGTCGCGGAGGGAGGACGTGAGAGACACAGCACCAGCAGCCAAGGATCAATGGGCAGGGCGACAAATTACATCGTTCCCCCATGAGACCAAATCCACAAACGCGCGATCCTTTTGATGCGCGATCAACCGCGTTCGATCAGGTGGTTGCTGGTACCTGCGTCGCCCTGGTGCACGTGCAGCCTCTCCTAAATCCAGGTCACGTGGTTCATGCTACGCGTGAGCGAAAAAACAAGCTAGGCATTATCGAGCGTGGCCAACACGATGCTTCAACCCCTCGAGCCGGCTGAAACAATTGTCACATGCATCCACCACTAGACCCTCGCAATCTCGGTCCCCATGGCTGAACTGCCCAGTAAATCGGCCCTGAGCATCCAAAACCTAATCACCCAAGACAAACAACGGCAAAGGTAGTGTGCCCCATCTCACCTCTTGGCCTGGCTCTTTATCTCGCGGTTCTTCGACCGCCTGAGGACCTTGTAGATGTCCTGG